CGATGGCAGGAGCCAGGAGCCAGGTGCTTTTCCTGGTCTCCCATGGGGTGCAGGGCCCAAGCACCTGGGCCATCCTCCACTGCACTCCCTGGCCACAGCAGAGGGCTGGCCTGGAAGAGGGGCAACCGGGACAGAATCCGGTGCCCCAACCGGGACAGAATCCGGTGCCCCGACCGGGACTAGAACCCGGTGTGCCGGCACCGCAAGGCGGAGGATTAGCCTAGTGAGCCGCGGCGCCGGCCTAAATCAGGCATTCTTAACTTGAATTTCATAAACAATCTCAGGGGCCTGAACTGTTTGCAACTATGCAAAACGTTATGGGTATGAAGGTACATAGGGAGTAAGTTCATTAAATGCTGCTAGGGATACATGGCCATGAATGGGTTAAGAGTAACTGTCCTAAACCAAAGTAGTGGAAAACATCTATAAACAGAGTAGAAAGGACAAAGTATAATTCTATTTATTATTACTATACTAAGGGGATACATTCAGAGATGTTAAATCTAACATTGTTCTTGGAAACTCTGATTACATAAATTAACTGTTTCACTTTTAAAACTTACTAACTGGAGGTGCAAATGACATAAAATGCCCTATATAAGGACCTGGCCAAATGGCTGCACACACAGCAAGCACCTGTTCAACAGCAGCTATTATTTTTTAAAAGTCCTGCTTTCAAAGAATGGTCTCCCACATGAGCAAAGACATGCACACATGAAACTACTTGTTAGAATAAGAATCTGGGCCTACTTTATAGCAAAATGGGTTAAACTGCCTCCTCCAACATCAGCATCCCACGTGAGGGCCGGTTCCAGTCCCGAACACTTCACTTCCAATCCAGCTCCCTAATGGTCTGGAAAAAGCAGCAGAAGGCCCATGTGCTCAGGCCTGTCACCCACATGGGAGACGTGGATGGAGTTTCCTGGCTCCTGGCTTCAGCCTGGCCCAGCCCTGGCTGTTGCAATCCTTTAGGGAGTGAATCAGCAGACAGATTTCTGTCCCTCTCTCAATCTTCCTCCCTCCCTCCTCTCTGTAACTCTGGCTTCCAAATAAGTAAATAAATCATTAAAAAAAAATTAAGCATCTACAGGGGCAATCTTTTGGAACAGCAGTTAAGTGGCACCTGGGACACTGCATCACATGCATTCCATATCAGTGCCAAGTTGGAGTCTAGGCTATGCCCCTTTACCAATCCAGCTTCTGGCTAATGCACTGAGAAGCAGCATGTTCAAGTCCTTGGGTTACTACCACCTACAAGGGAGTCTGGACTGAGCTCCATGTTCGTGGCTTTTGCATGGCCTAGTCCTGGCTGTTACAGGCATATGTGGAGCGAATCAGTGGATGAAAGAACTCTCTCGGAACCTCTTTCAAAGAAAAAATGAAAATACATAAAAACTGGCACCAGATATTTTAAAAAATAATTAAGAATCCATAAACACAGAACAGAAAAAACCTAACTGGACAGAATGTTCCAGCCAACTGAGCCAACCAGTCACAAAAGTACCAAGAAAAACTTCATTTCCCACTTCTTTTGTATTCTACTTCTCAAATGTTTAAGTCAGCCAACAAACCCACAAACAGTTAGTTCTTCTGCTCCTCAGAACCAATTTTTTTTTGCAAATATCATTCTACCATTTTCCCTTTAGAATCTGAAACACCCAGGATGGTTCAAAAAAAAAAAAAAGCCAAGGCCTAGGTTTTCTTCCTTAAATTCAATTCCAAACATCAAAGGACCAATCTCAGCTCCACCCTCTACAGGAAAAACAGAGAAATAGGCTGACCACTCCCTTCTTCCTCTAAGGAAATCTGGGCATTTTGCCTAAATCTCTTACTAAAACTCCAAACTGTAGTTCAAAGACTGGTAAAAAGCTGATAAGCTACACATTTGAATTATCTCATGCACTGGCAATCTACACCCATTTTCTGTTTTTCTTCATGTTACAACATTCAAAGCTGATTATTTAGCAAATCATGAAAATCTCAAAACCTTAAAAAGCATTTCATTTTACCCTAAACTTCCTAACGTAGAAGAGCGAGCCAGGAATAGGCACCCTTAGCAATAGCAAAAAGAAGCTACTGTTTTAAAAATTTGTTTGAAAGGCAGAGTGACAGAGATCTTCCAATTGCTGGTTCTCTCCTCCAAATACCTGGAACAGCCAGGGCTAGGCCAAGATAAAACCAAAAGCCCAGGATCCAACTAAAGATATCACTTGCTGCCTCCCAGGGAACACATTAGCACAAAGCTGGAATCAGATGCAGAGCTGTCAAACCCAGGCACTCCAAAAGGAGATGTGAGTTTCTTAAACGCTGTGCCAAACACCCATTCCAAGATGCTATTCTTTATTATCAAAAATGACATTTAACTAGTGCAACTACAAACAGTGAAACCATCCCATAGGCATAGTCAAAACTGCCAAAGAGAAAACACACATACACATAACTGCAGCCAAAAAAATTACTAATAGGATGTGAATATAACATGTTAGCACACAGATGTATTAAGATCAGTTACAAAATAAAAAGACCAAATATCCAAGAAATAAAATCACTCAGAAAGCAAAATTCTCTTTAAAAACCAACTAGATGGTTGGAAAAAAAGAACTTATTCTGTAACTCTTTCATCTTTAGTACAACATATTTGATGGTTAAAAAAATAAGTCAACGCCCCTCATTTTAACTTAATTATGATAAAAAGGGAAAAGAAAATTTTAAAATGCAAAACTTTTACTTCTTATTTTTAAATGATTCTCAAGATCATCCCGTTCATACACTCTTTTTTTTTTTTTTTTAAGATTATTTATTTATTTGAAAGTCAAGAGTTACACAGAGAGAGGAGAGACAGACACAGAGATCTTTCATCTTGTGAGCTGCTGGTTCACTCCCCAATTGGCCGCAATCACAGGAACTGCGCCGATCCGAAGCCAGGAGCTTCTTCCGGGTCTCCCACGTGGGTGCAGGGGCCAAAGCACTTGGGCCATCTTCTACTGCTTTCCCAGGCCATAGCATAGAGCTGAATGGGAAGTGGAGCAGCCGGGACTCGAACCAGCGCAGGCAGTGGCCTTACCCACTATGCCACAGCACCAGTCCCCTGGTTCACTCCTAAGCTGGCAGCAACAGCTAAGGTTGGGCCAGGCCAAAGCTAGGAGCCAGGAGCTTCTTCCAAGTCTTCTACATGGGTGGCAGGGGCCCAAGGACTTGGGCCATCTTCCGCTGCTTTCCCAGGCACACTAGCAGAGAACTGGATAGGAAATGGAACAGCAGGGACTTGAACCAGCGCCTGCATGGGATGCCATGGTGGCAGCCAGTGGCTTTACCCACTGCACCACAATGCCAGACACCAAACACTTAAGTTTTTAAAAAAGGATTTACATGAAACAGAGCACTGGTCAATTTAAAAAGTCAAACCATGCCAAAAAAGAAAGAAGTTTTTAGACTGAAAAAAATTTGAAATCCTAGAATCATATTTTTAAAAGGGGGAGGAGGTGTGTGCTAAAAACAACTTAATTATTTTAAGTGTTTCGCATTACAGGACTACAGCTGATCCAAATAGACTGCTGTATTTCTTCTTCTTGGTTTACTGGCATACTCAAGATAAATACACACGCATTGTTCTTAAAACATTACTTAAAGATGAGAGAGCCAAAATTATTTTTTTAACACTAAAAAAAAGCACTAGAAGCCAAGGGATTATGAAAAATGCTTCTGGTATGAGAATAATGTTAAGCATTTCTTAACCAGCATGCTGAAATAAGCACTGCCTGCTTCACCACATCACTAAAAAAAAAAAAAAAAACTTCAGATTTCCATAAAAAACAAAGTTCTACTTTTTCCATACTTCAGACTGCACTTCCAATTGCTTGCTTTCGTTTGTAGTTGATAGGAAAATCATCCAAACTTTCTACCTTAATGTTAACCGTGGGTAGGTCATTTCTCCCAAACTGGCTTGATAAAGGAAAGCAGTCAAAAGGATGGCTTAAAATTCAACTACTGATGTATTTTTCCCCCTCACCCCTAAAATAAAAACTTAAATATTGTAAAGAACATTCAGAAATATAGCTACCAACAGGTAATCTTATGTCAGCCAATAAACATCTTCCAAATTCAGCAACATCCTACAGCAGATTTTTAGGTTTTTAAAAGGAACAAGATAAATTAGACAACAATCCATAGCAAGCTAAGAAATATCTGGGAGGATACATTAACTAATGAACCATTCTGTAATCCTGGAATAAGGGAAGACATTCATCCATTAAAAGTGTTAATTAAGAGAAAGCATAAGATTTTAAAGTTTAGAACAAGGTGTTAAAGAAAATGTATTCAATAATAAGGAATGCTTTCTTTTTTTGTTTTCCAATTACTCTTACAATGTTAAACTTCGTTAAAGACAAAAAGAGATCAATGAAGTCAGATTGGTAAAAAAAAAATCTGATTATTGGTTGCCCCCGATCTTCCCTAAAATAGCCATCTTTTACTATCACCCTAAGATATTTTCATTAACACTTTTGCAAAGGTTTTCCCAAACTACTGGACTATTTTAATAGACAGTCCAGAATGCAAATACAGTAGGCTAGATATTGGCAAACAAGATGCCAGAAAAAAATATAAAAAGATTTTCTAAGTTTGACTCTGTTGAGATCATTAATCTAAAGTTCTTAAAAGAAAGGATGATCTGGCACTACACTTACTTAAATTCTATAGTCCTTGCCATTTATTGGCCATCCTTCCTTTTTGCCCCTGGAAAAATCCTCCTCGATCCTTTCTGCTCTTCCAAATCTCACTGCTAATAACATCCTTACAGGTTTCTTTTCCAGAGTCTTCCAAAACCCAATGGGCAAGCCAAAGTCACTACATTCCTCTGAAATCCTGTTGCTCCAATCTATACTGCATATTTGGAACTTGCTATATCTACTGACATTTGATATGCATAAAATCTACATTCTAAAAAAAAAAATCTACATTCTATATTCCATTTATAAGTTCCTTGGGGAACTTATAAAACCATAGCACTGTTAAACCCTAGCACTATCAGAATGCCTTACAGGAAAATGATTTCTACCTCCAAAAGAATGTTCTTACCATTTTCCAAATTCGTCTGGAAGTATCTGAATCTCACCACTACATTGGTAAGGATGACTCCTATTTATCCTATTTTACAAAAGGAGAAACAAATTCTGAAGCTGAGTAATTTCTCAAAATCTCATTCAACTAATTAATTTTCAAGGTCTATTTATAGTACTAAACATATGTAGCAAATATAGGAACCTCCCTGAACAGCAGAGGTTTAAAAAATCTCCATATAGTGGCAAATCCAAAAATTCATGTTCTTTACTGCTTCCAGGATAAACACTAATTAGGAACCTTACATCAACTCGGGCTAACCACGTAACACCAACTTTGTCCTCGGAGCCCTTGATAAAGAAAAAATTGCCAACATAGCAAATTTTTCAAGTAAGAAATTCTAGTAAAATCGTATAGCTACTGTTTAGTACGAAAAGATATTTCAGCATCAAACCACAATATTACAAAATTTGAAGTCAGAATGCGTTTTGCAACAGTCATGTGACACACACATGACAGTCAGCTAAACTGAAGAGTTGACTTTTCAGGGGGATATGTCTACCAGTAACTGACCAAAGCAAAAAATAAAAAAACTTTTGGGACAAATACTAATTTTTGCTTTTAGAAATCCTCCTGAAAAGGTTTCCGGCGCTGAAGAATACCAATTAAATTATCAACTTTTCATTAATTTACATATATGTAAACTGTAGGAAGTGTTTTTTCTTAAGGGCCATAAAGAACTCAACTAAACTCTTCCCCAAGGCAAGTGAACACTAGTTCCCAGGAAAAGTGCCAGGTGTGTCACATCTGTTGTGGTGACCTCTTGAGTAAGCAAGGAAAAGAAATGCATTAACTTTTCATGACACGTCATGGAAGCTCATTCCCTATCTACAAGCATTCAAGTAGGTAATCCAAAACCTACACGATCTACCATAGGTCCCACTCGTTTCTCTTTCAACTTGACAGTAGTCCTTGTCCAATTCGGTAGTACCCTTGGTTTTAGTTCTGTTTTTTTTTTTTCTCCCTCCCTTGACCTATAGAAGACAAAATGACTTAGGTGTCCTCTAACAACAAATTCTCCCAAATGTCCAGGGCTTTGGGAGGGCGATGGACCAGGCAAGTTCTTAAAGAACTCCTCCAGGAGATAACTCCAAACGAGAACTAAGCATTTTAAATCGCTGCTCACCATCTCTCCGCTCCTTGCCCTCAATCCCACGCAGTCCCGAGAAGCATCCATATTACCTGCAACCTGGCGGGGAGGGTGGCACGACAGGGAACCAGCAAGCTCAGGCTTTACAAGTAAAGCTGGTTTCCAACCCGGCGATCCTGACAGCTCCGCAGAGCGCGGGCGCGGGGTCTGACAGTGCCCTCTGGGGGAGCTCTCCCACCCTTCTCCTCCCCTTAAAAACAAATGCCCCTTCCAAAGTTACTGCCCCCGGAGGAAGCTGACCCTTCAGGCCGCTCCGCCACCGGACTGCCCAACGCCCCAAGGCCCTCCGCAGCGGCCCGGCACTCAGGCCCTGAGGCGGACCCGGCCGAGGCCCGGGCCGCTCACCTCTCCGGCCGACCCCTCCCCCCGGCCGCCCCTCCGCCGTCAGACAATGGGGCCCGACTCCCGGCCTCAAGCCTCTAAGGCCCCGTCACCCTTGCCTCCCTCGGGCCAATGCCCGCGCCCCTGCCCCAGCCCTCCTCGCCCCGCTTAAGCTTCCCAAGCTGGCCCACCGACCCAGCCGACCGGTGTTCTCCTGCACTCACTATTCGGGATTCATGCTGGACATGTCACTGCAGCTGCCGCCGCCGCCACCGCCGCCCTTGCTGCCGCAGCCGCCGCCCTGACTCTCCGCGCCACGGGTAATCGAAGGAAAGGAATGAGATGGGCTGTTCCGGGAGAGCAAACGTCTTCCCCCGCTCCGTCCCCTTAGAACACAATCAGCAGCCGCCGCCACTCAGCTATCGCTTCCACCCAAAATGGCCGCCGGCGAACCAGGAAATAGGGAAGCCTCGGACCAAGGGGTCTTTACACGGCCCGGAGGGCGGCCTCGGCGCGTGGCATGCCGGGAAGGAGAGTCGCGAGCGCAGCTACACGCGCAGAAGACCGACGGTGCGGCAAGGCGGCCGGGACTCCGCTTCCCGCCAAGCCCCGCGACTCTGGTGCATGCGTACTTGTGCGGTTGTCGCCCGCTCCATTCCCCACTCCCTCACCCCCCACCCTCCGCCCCTCCCTGCTCCCCTCCCCGTTGACTCGCTGGCTAGGACTTCGCTCGGACTCCCCCTAGCGGATTGGCTAAGGCCGAGAGGCCCCGGTGATGTCACCAGTGAGACGTGGCAGCCGGGCGAGTCAGCGCCCCACGGGGGAGGGGGTGGGAAGAGGCAGAGGGCGGTACCGGCCGGGGCGGAGGATGGGGGTCACGGTGGGACCGCGGGGCGGGAGGGGTCTGGCCTGGTGGGACGGCCCGAGCGTGGGGGAAGGGGCGCGCGCCTGGCGGCCCCTGAGCCCCGCGCGGTTCTCGCAGGCCCGACGGGCTTGAGGCCTGCCCTTCGCCGCTGGTCCGAGGACGTAGGCTCAGAGGGCGGCGGGAAAGTCGGGGGCCTCTGCCGAGGACTTCCGGCGCCCTGGACTGCGCGCAGCCCTCTTCACTCACCCGACCCCACCCGGGTTCGGTCACTACCGTTTTCTTTTTGATTTTTACAGTCCTGGCCCAGCCCCACTCTTGTCATGTCACCTCAGCCTGGACATTTCAGTTGCCTGCAAGTGGACTATGCCCCAGCCCATTCGCACACAGCGCTTCCACCGTGACCCCACAACCTTCAAGGGCTCCACAGCCAGGGGTGGGACACAGCCCAGGCATGGCCTAAGAGTTGAGTCTACCTGCTCTCGGCCCAGCCTTCAGGCTGAATTGTTCTGCCTCTTTAAAAGTTGCCACTTAATTCTGAGCAAGATTGGAAAGTAATAAGCGATAAAAACGTACAATTCATCACTATATAGTGCCCACAGACTCCAGGAGTAATACTAACACATAAAAAAAAAAAAAAAAAACAACCTTATGGGCTTACCAGCTCTCTTTAATCAGCTCAGGAATTTAAATCTCCACTAAACTTTAACACATTATCTTGCTTGGGTTATTTAATTACAAAGGGCATAGTATAACACATTGTCCAAAGTTTATCTTCCAACTGGTTCTAAGAACCAAGAAAATTATCTCCTGAGACTTTAAGTGATTGCAAAATCACTTAAAACTCCTATGGCACCAAAATATGGGAAGAAAGTAATTCTTCACTTCTACCCATGTACCAACTACACTCCTAACCCCCAAATCCCACCATGCACCTTAGTTGATAGCCTCATCAAACAGTCAGCTAGAGTTCCTGTATATGATGTTGATTTCTGAATTGAACATGGTCACCACTCCAGGAAAAGGACCCTGAATGGATTAAAGAATGTTTCTTACCCTGGACTCTAAAATCCTAGACCCTTCCTGCTTACTGTGATTTCACTGAGTAAAAACACAAATGTGCACAAGCACTCATACTGAGCTAAAAATTCAACCTTTCATCTATTCCAGAGATACACTATTTCCCCACTTTCTGTAACTATTTCCTAATCCAACAAAGAATTACCTCCTAAGTTTTAACCCAAGTGAGAGGATACTATGTGAATTAAATTAAAAAATGTAAAGCATGTGGTACAATGACTTTGGAGTACCTGGTAAACGTTAATAACTTTCTGGAACAGGCATTTGGTACAATGTTTGAGTTGCACATGTCTCACATTGAAGTACCTGGTACAAGTCCCAGCTCCGCTTCCCATTCCAGCTGCCTGCAATATCATGCTTTGAAAAAATTTTACAGTGCCAGCACTGTGGCGCAGTGGGTTAAAGCCCCAACCTACAGCGCCAGCGTCCCATATGGGCGCTGGTTGAGTCTGGCTGCTCCTCTTCCGATCCAGCTCTCTGCTATGGCCTGGGAAAGCAGTAGAAGGTGGCCCACATCCTTGGGCCCCTGCACCCATGTGGGAGACCTTGAGGAAGCTCCTGGCTCCTGGCCAGGATCAGCTCAGCTCTGGACGTTGTGGTCATTTAGGGAGTGAACCAGCAGAATGGAAGATCTCTCTCTCTCTCTCTCTCTCTCTCTCTGGCTCTGGCTCTGGCTCTACCTTTCTCTGTAACTCTGTCTTTCAAAGAAATAAAAAATAATTCTTTTAAAAAAAATTTTACTGGCCTTCGCTGTGGCATAGCTGGTAAACACCGCCTGTGGTGCTGACATCCCATATGGATGCTGGTTTGAGACCCAGCTGCCTCACTTCCAATCCAGCTCTCTGCTGTGGCCTGAGAAAGCAGTAGAAGATGGCCCAAGTCCTTGGGCCCCTGCACCCATGTGGGAGACCCAGAGAAGGCTCCTGGCTTCTGGTTTTGGATTGGGGCAGCTCTGGCCATTGCAGCCAACTGGAGATTGAACCATTGGATGGGAGACCTCTCTCTCTCTCTCTGTGCCTCTCCTTCTCTCTCTGTGTAACTCTGCCTTTCAAATAAATGGATAAATCTTTTTTAAAAATTTACTGACTCAAATTTTAATATACTTCATATTTAGGCATATAGGAGCCTGTACTTTTTTTTTTTTTGACAGGCAGAGTGGATAGTGAGTGAGAGAGACAGAGAGAAAGGTCTTCCTTTGCCGTTGGTTCACCCTCCAATGGCCGCCACGGTGGTGCGCTGTGGCTGGCGCACCGCGCTGATCTGAAGGCAGGAGCCAGGTGCTTCTTCCTGGTCTCCCATGGGGTGCAAGGCCCAAGCACTTGGGCCATCCTCCACTGCCTTCCTGGGCCACAGCAGAGAGTTGGCCTGGAAGAGGGGCAACCAGGAAAGAATCCAGCACCCTGACCGGGACTAGAACCTGGTGTGCCGGCGCCGCTAGGTGGAGGATTAGCCGCGGCGCCGGCCTAAATAATCTTTTTAAAAAATACTCAGAACCATATATCCAAAAGGGTAAATTTATGTATATGAATTATACTTCAACTATAAACCTGACATTTTTTATTTTTAAAGATTTTTATGTATTTATTTGAGAG